CCCTATAAGGAGGGTAAGCATAGGCTACACCTCAAAAATTGTGTTTAGCCTATGTGGTAGTATTAGGCAATTGAAGTTCTTCTAGTGCTACAGGTCAGAGAGGGTCGACTCCCCTTGGTGCTACATGTTAGTTTTGTTTTTAAGTGCTTCCCTTACCTTCTTGAAATGGCTAATGTGGTCATACGTTTTCTACTTTTGTTGTAATTTCTTACAGGGTATTATGGGCCGTATGGGATGATGATGTCATGATGGATTTGAGGTCCAAACTCCAAATGTCCAAGACCTTTAAATACCCCTCCCCCCAATCGGCAACTATATCAAAAAGTAATTCCAGCTTGTTTCAGGTTTTTTAATTCTATGAAAATTTCAGGCTTTTTAATTCTATGAAAATATATGATGAAATCCTTATTACGGAGCACTATTTTAACATGTTTATATTATATATTAATCTCTCTAAGTATCAATTTATTTATATTATATATTTTAACATGTTTATATCAAGATTCAAGACTGCGTTTACTTGGATTGTTTTCTTTCCCAGATCAAACCACAAATTTAAGAAGACTAGATAAGATTAAACTTTCATAGTTATAAAATGTTCGGAGATCAGACATTTATCGGAGCAGACTAGGTCAGAACAACAAATTTCAATCCAAGTAAAAACATCGCAGATGCAATATTAATTTGAGATATTACCCAAAATGAGACTAAAAAAGTTTGAAAATTCCAAAATAGGACTTCCATGTTTTTATTCCCAAAATAGGACTAATTACTGCCATGTTTTGGCAGTACCAGACTTCAAACATGGCAGTATTTTCCAAATTTGGCAGTAATTAGTTCTATTTTGGGAATAAAAACATGACAGTCCTATTTTGGAATTTTCGAACTTTTTTAGTCCCATTTCGGGAACTTTCCCTATTAATTTTTGCTCTTATGGACTAAAAAAGTGTCATTAATGAAATACAAGTATAAGAATATAGTGTTTAAATTCCGTACATAAAAAGTCATGTATTTGATAGCATTAATTATTCGCATGTAGTATACTACTATTACTATATTACATCTATGTGTATTACTGCATACACTGACCCTCGATGTCTAGATCCGCCACTGCCGGTGTGGGACAAATGTTTCAACAATGACACATAGTGCATAATTAGAATTATTCTGAGTTGAATTCGCATTGAAAACAGTATTGGGTGCAACTTCCTGAGAGATAACAATAGTGTGCCCTCCAAATTCACGTTCTTGTTGAAGAACGAGCTGAGGAAAAAACGAGTCAGAGTTGGTGATGATTCCATGAGCATCACTTGAGAACGAACTTGAGCAAATTTGTTGTTGAGACCTCTCAAGATTTTTATATTATGCAATCATCATCCCTTTCCTTTTGAAACTTTAGGAGAATTCCACAATTGCATTTAATAGTGAAGCAGCAAGCAAAAACAGTTCGATACATTGATAACTATTTCAATAGAGTTTATAATTGAGTAAAATACTGAGAGACTATGGGATCACCTTGACGGAAAGTTTTTACAACAAAGCCAAGCTTCGTACGTACAGAGAATCCAAATGTTCTGGACATTGCAAAGTTCCAAGAAAAAATTGATCTTTCATTGGTGAAAGTTTTTATCATCTAGAAATGGTGTGACAAGAATTAGGAGAGTATTTTCTCCAAGATGTAGTAATAAAGGATTTGCTTGATTGATTAGTGACCCGAGAGTTAATTTGGATGTGAATTTTGATTTGGATTACCCATTGTTGATTGAAGAAATGAAGAAATCTCAGAATAGTAAAGAGCGATGCATCAGTGAAAAGTTGTTTAGTCTTTCATATGCCATATTAGTGATTGAAGAAATAGAATTCAATAAAAATAGGAACTCTCATTATGAATTTTTACAAATCACAAGAATGGTGCTTTACACTATTTATAAAAAGTCAATCTAGCTAACTGAGATCCAACTAGCTAACTAATTACGATGGTTATCATACTAACCAATTAACTGAAAATATAACTAATAAACTGTTAGAAATTAAACTTGGCTTAGCCCAATCATTGGGTCCATTAGAAGTTAACTTATTGGGCTAGTAGTTGTATGAGAAATAATAAATTAGTTAGCCCATAAGTTAGAGTTAGTAAAGAAAGGTCTAGAATACTCTTTAGTTAATGTACTTATTAAATGATTCTAGAATATTCCTAAGCTAGAATCCTATGGAATAGTGTAGAATGTTAAAGACATAGGAGTGCCTAGAAGGATCCTAAGAGACCTATAAATAGAGCACTCCTCACTCATTTGTAATACAAGCAAAAGCTCCAAATCAATAAAAGTTTCAAGTTCTTCCAAAATCATCTCTCTCTAAAATTCTCTCTTCCACACACAATCACCTAAATACAATACTCATAAACTCCTTTATTCCAACAAAGTGGTATCAGAGCCATCAATCCTTTCACGAAAGATGAATGCCAACGGCTTACTCCCCTTCCAATTTCCTCGTCTCACCAAAGATAACTACTCTAGTTGGTGCATTCGCATGAAAGCCTTGCTAGGATCTCAAGATGCATGGGAGATTGTTGAGAAAGGTTATGAGGAACCTCAAGATGATGCTACTTTAAATCAATCCCAAAGGGATAGTCTCCAAAGGAGTAGGAGGAAGGATCAACAAGCTCTCACTCTCATATATCAATGCTTAGACGAGGCCATGTTCGAGAAGGTTGCAAATGCCACCACTTCTAAAGAAGCATGGGAAATACTTCATAATTCTTTCAAGGGAGTCGACAAGGTGAAGAGAATTCGTCTTCAAAATCTTAGAGGTGAGTTCGAACAACTTAAAATGAAATATTCGGAATCAATATCCGATTATTTCTCTAGAGTGTTGGGAATTGTAAATGAGATGAAGAGAAATGGGGAGGAACTAAAGGACATAACGGTGATTGAGAAAATCCTTCGCTCTCTCACCAAAGACTATGATTATATTGTGGTGGCCATAGAAGAGTCCAAGGATTTAGAGACCATGACCATTGATCAACTTATGGGCTCATTACAAGTCCATGAAGAAAGAGTTGTGAGAAATAAATCTGATGAATCATTGGAGCATTCTCTTTACTCCAAACTCTCTTTTAAAGAAAGAGGGGAGAATAGAGGTGAAGAAAGAGGCCAACGAGGTCATGGTGCACGTGGAAGAGGTGGTCGAGGTCGTGGTTATACAAAATTCAACAATGAAGAAAGAACTCAATATACACAAGCATCTAGAGGCCGTGGGAGAGGAAGCAAACCACAAAGGTACGACAAGTATCAACTAAGATGTCATAATTGCAATAAATATGGTCACTATGCATATGAATGCAAGAACTCTCATCATGTTAAAGAAGAGGCACATCTCATGGAGATGAATAACGAGGTAGAACTTACCTTGTTGATGGCAAATCATGAAGAACAAGCGAAGAAGAGCACATGGTATTTAGATACCGGAGCTAGCAACCACATGACGGGAGATAAAAGCTTGTTCGTGAAGGTGGAACATACTCAAGGTCATGTTACCTTTGGAGATGAATCGAAAGTCGTGGTGAATGGTAAAGGTAACGTTCTAATCCGCCTAAACGATGGAAGTCATCAATTCATTTCCGATGTCTACTATGTGCCCAACTTAAAAACAAATATTCTAAGTATGGGACAACTCTTAGAAAAGGACTATGATATTCACTTAAAGAATCGTAGTCTTTCTCTACGAGACCATAATGGGAGACTAGTTGCTAAAGTGCCGATGACTAGAAACCGAATGTTCTTGCTTGATATTCAAAGAGATCAAACTATATGCTTGAAAAGTTGCTTGAAAGATGAGTCATGGATTTGGCACTTAAGATATGGGCACTTAAACTTTGGTGGCTTAAAAATGCTATCGTCCAAAGGCATGGTAAAAGGTTTGCCATTCATCAACCATCCCGATCAGCTATGCGAAGGATGCCTACTTGGGAAGCAATCAAGGAAACCATTCCCTAAAGAAGTTACCTCAAGAGCTAAGGAGCCATTGGAGTTAATCCATACCGACTTATGCGGTCCTATTACTCCATGTTCTCATGGTAAAAGTAAGTACTTTCTCACTTTCATCGATGATTACTCAAGGAAAACATGGGTATATTTTCTTAAACAAAAATCAGAGGCTTTTGAAACATTCAAGAAATTTAAAGCTCTTATTGAGAAAGAAAGTGGGTACGTTATTAAAGCCATGAGATCAGATCGGGGTGGAGAGTTCACATCAAAGGAGTTCAATCAATTTTGTGAAGATAACGGCATCCGTCGTCCCATGACTGTCCCACGCACACCACAACAAAATGGTGTTGCCGAAAGAAAGAATAGGACTATCCTCAACATGGCCCGAAGCATGCTAAAGACAAAGAATATGCCTAAAGAATTTTGGGCTGAAGCTGTGGATTGTGCCGTCTATCTTCAAAATCGCTGCCCCACAAAGAGTCTAGATGGAATAACTCCACAAGAAGCATGGCATGGAGGTAAACCCGGAGTCTCGCACTTGAAAGTATTTGGATGCATTGCATATGCTCATGTTCCTGATCAGATTAGATCAAAACTCGATGACAAGAGCGAGAAGTTCATATTCATTGGATATGACAAACACTCAAAAGGGTACAAACTCTACAATCCGGATTCGAAGAAGCTTATAATAAGTCGTGATGTGGAGTTTGATGAAGAAGGTTCATGGAATTGGAGCATTGGCGACAAAGAAGATTATAGCCTCTTACCATCCATGGAATATGATGAAGAAGTTGAAGAGAATCATGAAAATATAACTCCTCCACAATCTCCAACTCAAGCTCAATCTTCGCCACCAAGTTCAGATGAAAGAGAAGTACCACGCATGAGAAGCATTGAAGAGCTTTACGAGGTAACACAAAACCTGAACTCAAATGATGAACTTACACTTTTTTGTCTATTTGGTGATTGCGAGCCACTAAGTTTTGAAGAAGCCACAAGAAATAAGAAGTGGAAAGATGCAATGGATGATGAGATTAAGTCCATTGTGAAGAACAAAACATGGGAGCTAGCCACACTTCCATCAAATCATAAAGCAATTGGAGTGAAGTGGGTATTTAAGATCAAGAAAAATGCAAAAGGGGAGGTTGAGAAGTACAAGGCAAGACTAGTAGCCAAAGGCTACGCCCAAAGACATGGCGTTGATTATGAAGAAGTTTTTGCGCCCGTTGCTAGATTGGAAACAATAAGATTGATAATTGCACTCGCGGCTCACAACAAGTGGAAGATACATCAAATGGATGTCAAGTCCGCATTCTTAAATGGGTTCCTAGAAGAAGAAGTCTACATTGAGCAACCCGAAGGTTACAAAGTCAAAGGGCAAGAAGATAAAGTGTTAAGGCTAAGAAAGGCTCTTTATGGGCTTAAACAAGCACCAAGAGCTTGGAATAGTAGAATTGACCAGTACTTCCAAGCTAATGGATTCATGAAGTGTCCACAAGAACATGCACTATATGTAAAGAAAAATCGTCAAGGAGACATATTGCTCGTGTGCATATACGTGGACGATCTCATCTTTACAGGTAATAATATGACGATGTTCGATGAGTTTAAACAAGTCATGACAAGGGAGTTCGAGATGACTGACATTGGGCTTATGAGTTACTATCTTGGCATCGAGGTGAAGCAAATGGATGATGGTATATTCATCACTCAAGAAGGATACGCGAGAGAAGTACTCAAGAAGTTCAACATGGAGGACTCCAAACCTGTAAGTACACCTGTTGAAAGTGGATTAAAGCTATCAAGGTATGATAAAGAAAAATTGATTGATCCAACTTACTTTAAGAGTCTTGTGGGGAGCTTAAGATACTTAACATGTACAAGACCGGATATTCTCTTTGGTGTTGGACTTGTTAGTCGATTCATGGAGGCCCCTACAACAACTCATTTGAAGGCGGCAAAAAGAATTTTGCGATATCTCAAAGGCACCGCCGAATATGGGTTGTTTTACTCTTCATCTGATGAGTTTAAGCTGGTTGGATATTGCGATAGTGATTGGGGTGGAGATATCGATGACCGCAAGAGCACAACTGGGTTCGTGTTTTACCTGGGAAACACCGCTTTCACATGGGTTTCAAAGAAGCAATCGATAGTCACTCTGTCCACTTGTGAAGCCGAGTACGTTGCAGCAACATCAAGTGTTTGTCATGCAATTTGGCTCAGATACATATTGCAAGCTCTCAGCATGTCTCAAGAAGAAGCAACAACAATATTCGTGGACAACAAGTCAGCTATCGCATTAGCAAAGAATCCAGTGTTTCATGATCGAAGTAAGCACATAGACACTCGATATCATTTCATCCGGGGAAAGATAGCGAAGAAGGAAGTTCAAGTAGAGTATGTGAAGACTCAAGACCAAGTCGCTGATATTCTCACAAAGCCACTCAAGCATGATGTCTTTGCAAAGATGCGGGATCTACTTGGTGTTGCTAAGTCAAGTTTAAGAGGGGATGTTAGAAATTAAACTTGGCTTAGCCCAATCATTGGGTCCATTAGAAGTTAACTTATTGGGCTAGTAGTTGTATGAGAAATAATAAATTAGTTAGCCCATAAGTTAGAGTTAGTAAAGAAAGGTCTAGAATACTCTTTAGTTAATGTACTTATTAAATGATTCTAGAATATTCCTAAGCTAGAATCCTATGGAATAGTGTAGAATGTTAAAGACATAGGAGTGCCTAGAAGGATCCTAAGAGACCTATAAATAGAGCACTCCTCACTCATTTGTAATACAAGCAAAAGCTCCAAATCAATAAAAGTTTCAAGTTCTTCCAAAATCATCTCTCTCTAAAATTCTCTCTTCCACACACAATCACCTAAATACAATACTCATAAACTCCTTTATTCCAACATAAACACCATGAGCACATCCTATAGTAATTTGTGTGACTAAACCATTAATGACCACCTCATCTAGCTTTTCGTATTTTATTACTATGTACGTAGTATTACGTATGTTATATTCGATCAGGTGTCGGGCGCGGTGCTGCTATGTATTGTCAACCATTTTTTCATAAAACTGTATCAGAAAAATATACTTATCACCTTCTTCGAACTTCAACCGTCACTTTAATTAGGTTGACATTGGTGGTATGGTGGCGGTGAGAGGCAACAACAAAGAGAACTAGAGAAGCCATGCAATGCACAGTTTCACGCAACTGCATGCACTCCTACATGAGGAGAAGCCATGCAAAGAGAAAATTTAGCGGCAGAGATCGATGGTAATTAGTTGGAGACAATAACCACACACATGATACTGTATACCATATCGTACATATGTTTAATTTATGCATATACCCAACACGTATTGTGATTCATTTAATTGTAACTTTTTCTACTGGCCATCGATCTTGGCTTGTAATTATGACAGATCGAGCATAGTAACGCGCGCGATGTACTTGAGTCTCTAGTATACTACCTCCATTCTCTTTTAGTTGCAACATTGGACTTTTTGCACTATTCACATGTTCTACTTTGACTACATTTTATTAATTGATGTATAATAAATTAAATTTTTAAAAAATATTGTCAAATTCTTTTTATTCTAAATTTTCAAAATATGAATTTTTTAATTTTTTTAATAATAAGGAATGAAAGATATTAATGGTCAAACTTGTGCATTGGCAAACGTGAAATGTTGACTGTTTCAATTAAAAAGGAACGAAGGAAGTACATAATTAGAAAGTCAGTTTGACCTTAATAATTCTATAACGATATGATATCAGAGATCTCGAAATTTTATTAGATTTAATTATAATGTTGATCAGGAACTCATAGCACAAAGGAGATTTATTACTACGTATTTCGTATTTCTTAGGAAATTTTCAGGGACCGGATGTTGAGGAAATAGCGAAGGGAAATTGTGATGGTCCCACAAAAAGTAATCGGTTTTAATACATTGCATCCATGACCATATAAATCTGGTCGTTATTAGTATATGTATTGTGACAATTCGATGTCTATTGCAAATTATCTCTCGCAAAAAGTCAATTTTCTTACAGTGATGATGGCAATATAATCTTCTCTTGTCAAAATTCTGAAGAGCAAAAAAGTATACGTTCTAATTTGACGATCATACAAAAAAATTCATCTTTACTAATGGAGAGAAGGTGGTACTAGGAGGGACTCGGCCCTCGAAAAAAAAATGTAATGTACATGCATATATACATGATAATTATGTGATGCGTTTATCAATAAAAGTACAAGACTCCATTATGCGTCGAGTGTTTGAAGAGAAGACACACGATAAAAGATAGTACTCCTTAATAAAGTACTCATTGGAGTACTAATAAGTATCTATATATGGGGAGTAAAAGACTAAAAAATCAATTTACTATTTTATTTATACGTGTAATATGAACGAAACCACTGATTTAAACTGTATGTGTTTCTTTGTTATGAAGTAGCAATCAATTAATGCAATTTTTAGCGCGATTTTTATCATGTACTATCATTCGGAAAAAGTCTCCTTACTTTAGTGAAATACTTGTACGAAGTATGCTGTAATTACCCTAAAGAATATGCTATAATAGGATAATCCATATTTGGCAATAAAAAATGAATGCAACAGTTTGTTGCATTCCTATTCCTATATTTCCGGAACGTTACTATGTTTCCTAAAAAAGCATTGTACGTTGAATTTGGCATCTTGCATTCTTATCATTCACTCAACTATCATTGCTTATAAATAGGGAAGTTCGCCAAGCACCGCCACCATCATTATATTCTCATCAACCCTACCAAGAAAAAGTGAGAGATATGATGAGGAATAAAAAATTAGTGTGGCGGCCGGTGGTTCCACAACCGTGGGAGAGGGAGTTTTGCCTCCAAGCCACCGGTGGCTTATACCGTTCATGGAATAAATTTCTCGAAGCCAAAAAGTACGTTCATCTTGACGATAAAATCATGCAGTGGGACGACACGGCGGCGGAGGAGGCCTTCAACTATTATAAGGCCATGTTTTATGCCGCCAAGTTCAAGCTCTCCGACGGCCCTCCGACGACTTATCCCGGAATTTCACATTCTTTTCAGCTGCCCGTTGATGATGAAACTATTGACGGTGATGAATCTGATGATAAAGTCAAAGTCAACGATTTTGATGATGATGGTCTCTTCGGGTCAGCGAATGACATAGCTGAGAGTGACAAGGAAGAAGAAGATGGTGATTATTACTGTGGGATGAATAATGTGCAGGAAAGTATGAGAATAGAGGATATAAAGCCTACGGGATGGGATGTTGAACCGCATCAATATGGGGCTCCGAATAACCTTACCGGACTCATCGTTGGCGGCTATAGCAAATATTGGCCATAATTAGGCTATTTTCTCATATGCAGTTTTCGTAATACTATACATCTGTTAGAAATTAAACTTGGCTTAGCCCAATCATTGGGTCCATTAGAAGTTAACTTATTGGGCTAGTAGTTGTATGAGAAATAATAAATTAGTTAGCCCATAAGTTAGAGTTAGTAAAGAAAGGTCTAGAGTACTCTTTAGTTAATGTACTTATTAAATGATTCTAGAATATTCCTAAGCTAGAATCCTATGGAATAGTGTAGAATGTTAAAGACATAGGAGTGCCTAGAAGGATCCTAAGAGACCTATAAATAGAGCACTCCTCACTCATTTGTAATACAAGTCAAAGCTTCAAATCAATAAAAGTTTCAAGTTCTTCCAAAATCATCTCTCTCTAAAATTCTCTCTTCCACTCACAATCACCTAAATACAATTCTCATAAACTCCTTTATTCCAACAAAGTGGTATCAGAGCCATCAATCCTTTCACGAAAGATGAATGCCAACGTCTTACTCCCCTTCCAATTTCCTCGTCTCACCAAAGATAACTACTCTAGTTGGTGCATTCGCATGAAAGCCTTGCTAGGATCTCAAGATGCATGGGAGATTGTTGAGAAAGGTTATGAGGAACCTCAAGATGATGCTACTTTAAATCAATCCCAAAGGGATTGTCTCCAAAGGAGTAGGAGGAAGGATCAACAAGCTCTCACTCTCATATATCAATGCTTAGACGAGGCCATGTTCGAGAAGGTTGCAAATGCCACCACTTCTAAAGAAGCATGGGAAATACTTCATAATTCTTTCAAGGGAGTCGACAAGGTGAAGAGAATTCGTCTTCAAAATCTTAGAGGTGAGTTCGAACAACTTAAAATGAAATATTCGGAATCAATATCCGATTATTTCTCTAGAGTGTTGGGAATTGTAAATGAGATGAAGAGAAATGGGGAGGAACTAAAGGACATAACGGTGATTGAGAAAATCCTTCGCTCTCTCACCAAAGACTATGATTATATTGTGATGGCCATAGAAGAGTCCAAGGATTTAGAGACCATGACCATTGATCAACTTATGGGCTCACTACAAGTCCATGAAGAAAGAGTTGTGAGAAATAAATCTGATGAATCATTGGAGCATTCTCTTTACTCCAAACTCTCTTTTAAAGAAAGAGGGGAGAATAGAGGTGAAGAAAGAGGCCAACGAGGTCGTGGTTATGATCGAGGACGTGGTGCACGTGGAAGAGGTGGTCGAGGTCGTGGTTATACAAAATTCAACAATGAAGAAAGAACTCAATATACACAAGCATCTAGAGGCCGTGGGAGAGGAAGCAAACCACAAAGGTACGACAAGTATCAACTAAGATGTCATAATTGCAATAAATATGGTCACTATGCATATGAATGCAAGAACTCTCATCATGTTAAAGAAGAGGCACATCTCATGGAGATGAATAACGAGGTAGAACTTACCTTGTTGATGGCAAATCATGAAGAACAAGCGAAGAAGAGCACATGGTATTTAGATACCGGAGCTAGCAACCACATGACGGGAGATAAAAGCTTGTTCGTGAAGGTGGAACATACTCAAGGTCATGTTACCTTTGGAGATGAATCGAAAGTCATGGTGAATGGTAAAGGTAACGTTCTAATCCGCCTAAACGATGGAAGTCATCAATTCATTTCCGATGTTTACTATGTGCCCAACTTAAAAACAAACATTTTAAGTATGGGACAACTCTTAGAAAAGGACTATGATATTCACTTAAAGAATCGTAGTCTTTCTCTACGAGACCATAATGGGAGACTAGTTGCTAAAGTGCCGATGACTAGAAACCGAATGTTCTTGCTTGATATTCAAAGAGATCAAACTATATGCTTGAAAAGTTGCTTGAAAGATGAGTCATGGATTTGGCACTTAAGATATGGGCACTTAAACTTTGGTGGCTTGAAAATGCTATCGTCCAAAGGCATGGTGAAAGGTTTGCCCTTCATCAATCATCCCGATCAGCTATGCGAAGGATGCCTACTTGGGAAGCAATCAAGGAAACCATTCCCTAAAGAAGTTACCTCAAGAGCTAAGGAGCCATTGGAGTTAATCCATACCGACTTATGCGGTCCTATTACTCCATGTTCTCATGGTAAAAGTAAGTACTTTCTCACTTTCATCGATGATTACTCAAGGAAAACATGGGTATATTTTCTTAAACAAAAATCAGAGGCTTTTGAAACATTCAAGAAATTTAAAGCTCTTATTGAGAAAGAAAGTGGGTACGTTATTAAAGCCATGAGATCAGATCGGGGTGGAGAGTTCACATCAAAGGAGTTCAATCAATTTTGTGAAGATAACGGCATCCGCCGTCCCATGACTGTCCCACGCACACCACAACAAAATGGTGTTGCCGAAAGAAAGAATAGGACTATCCTCAACATGGCCCGAAGCATGCTAAAGACGAAGAATATGCCTAAAGAATTTTGGGCTGAAGCTGTGGATTGTGCCGTCTATCTTCAAAATCGCTGCCCCACAAAGAGTCTAGATGGAATAACTCCACAAGAAGCATGGCATGGAGGTAAACCCGGAGTCTCGCACTTGAAAGTATTTGGATGCATTGCATATGCTCATGTTCCTGATCAGACTAGATCAAAACTCGATGACAAGAGCGAGAAGTTCATATTCATTGGATATGACAAACACTCAAAAGGGTACAAACTCTACAATCCGGATTCGAAGAAGCTTATAATAAGTCGTGATGTGGAGTTTGATGAAGAAGGTTCATGGAATTGGAGCATTGGCGACAAAGAAGATTATAGCCTCTTACCATCCATGGAATGTGAAGAAGAAGTTGAAGAGAATAATGAAAATATAACTCCTCCACCATCTCCCACTCAAGCTCAATCTTCACCACCAAGTTCAGATGAAAGAGAAGTACCACGCATGAGAAGCATTGAAGAGCTTTACGAGGTAACACAAAACCTAAACTCAAATGATGAACTTACACTCTTTTGTCTATTTGGTGATTGCGAGCCACTACGTTTTGAAGAAGCCACAAGAAACAAGAAGTGGAGAGATGCAATGGATGATGAGATTAAGTCCATTGTGAAGAACAAAACATGGGAGCTAGCCACACTTCCATCAAATCATAAAGCAATTGGAGTGAAGTGGGTATTTAAGATCAAGAAAAATGCAAAAGGGGAGGTTGAGAAGTACAAAGCAAGACTAGTGGCCAAAGGCTACGCCCAAAGACATGGCATTGATTATGAAGAAGTATTTGCGCCCGTTGCTAGATTGGAAACAATAAGATTGATAATTGCACTCGCGGCTCACAACAAGTGGAAGATACATCAAATGGATGTCAAGTCCGCATTCTTAAATGGGTTCCTAGAAGAAGAAGTCTACATTGAGCAACCCGAAGGTTACAAAGTCAAAGGGCAAGAAGATAAAGTGTTGAGGCTAAGAAAGGCTCTTTATGGGCTTAAACAAGCACCAAGAGCTTGGAATAGTAGAATTGACCAGTACTTCCAAGCTAATGGATTCGTGAAGTGTCCACAAGAACATTCACTATATGTAAAGAAAAATCATCAAGGAGACATATTGCTCGTGTGCATATACGTGGACGATCTCATCTTTACAGGTAATAACACGACGATGTTCGATGAGTTTAAACAAGTCATGACAAGGGAGTTCGAGATGACTGACATTGGGCTTATGAGTTACTATCTTGGCATCGAGGTGAAGCAAATGGATGATGGTATATTCATCACTCAAGAAGGATACGCGAGAGAAGTACTCAAGAAGTTCAACATGGAGGACTCCAAACCTGTAAGTACACCTGTTGAAAGTGGACTAAAGCTATCAAGGTATGATAAAGGAAAATTGATTGATCCAACTTACTTTAAGAGTCTTGTGGGGAGCTTAAGATACTTAACATGTACAAGACCGGATATTCTCTTTGGTGTTGGACTTGTTAGTCGATTCATGGAGGCCCCTACAACAACTCATTTGAAGGCGGCAAAAAGAATTTTGCGATATCTCAAAGGCACCGCCGAATATGGGTTGTTTTACTCTTCATCTGATGAGTTTAAGCTGGTTGGATATTGCGATAGTGATTGGGGTGGAGATATCGATGACCGCAAGAGCACAACTGGGTTCGTGTTTTACCTGGGAAACACCGCTTTCACATGGGTTTCAAAGAAGCAATCGATAGTCACTCTGTCCACTTGTGAAGCCGAGTACGTTGCAGCAACATCAAGTGTTTGTCATGCAATTTGGCTCAGGTACATATTGCAAGCTCTCAGCATGTCTCAAGAAGAAGCAACAACAATATTCGTGGACAACAAGTCAGCTATCGCATTAGCAAAGAATCCAGTTTTTCATGATCGAAGTAAGCACATAGACACTCGATATCATTTCATTCGGGGAAAGATAGCGAAGAAGGAAGTTCAAGTAGAGTATGTGAAGACTCAAGACCAAGTCGCTGATATTCTCACAAAGCCACTCAAGCATGATGTCTTTGCAAAGATGCGGGATCTACTTGGTGTTGCTAAGTCAAGTTTAAGAGGGGATGTTAGAAATTAAACTTGGCTTAGCCCAATCATTGGGTCCATTAGAAGTTAACTTATTGGGCTAGTAGTTGTATGAGAAATAATAAATTAGTTAGCCCATAAGTTAGAGTTAGTAAAGAAAGGTCTAGAGTACTCTTTAGTTAATGTACTTATTAAATGATTCTAGAATATTCCTAAGCTAGAATACTATGGAATAGTGTAGAATGTTAAAGACATAGGAGTGCCTAGAAGGATCCTAAGAGACCTATAAATAGAGCACTCCTCACTCATTTGTAATACAAGTCAAAGCTTCAAATCAATAAAAGTTTCAAGTTCTTCCAAAATCATCTCTCTCTAAAATTCTCTCTTCCACTCACAATCACCTAAATACAATTCTCATAAACTCCTTTATTCCAACAACATCTGAATATAATTAGTTTTGATTATTAATTTTGTTAGTTGATCGAATTTCTTTTGCTCTAATTTAAAGATCAAGAATCACAAGTAATTAGATCAAAAAAAAAAGAATCACAAGTAATTAATTAAGAGACTTATAAATATCCTTGAATAATCCCTTCATTCCCTTGATATGATGACGATACACATTGCAGGAATTGAATAAGCCAAGATTCTCGTATTTTCTCTTAATTCATACGGAGTAATGCATTCGGGCATTATCAATATTCATGAATAGGGTTGTATATATATAGGGAAGTATCCCCACGTTATACAGAAGAATTTGAAAATTCTTGTCAAAAAAAAAAATTGAGAATTGTTTTTGGATTTTTGTCTGAACGGAGCTGAGTATTGAAAATTGAAAAACGTTACATTTTTTGCATATCTGCAATTGATCTTTTAAATACTTTTCACCACCGTTATTAACTTATTATTAAATATTAATATTATCATATGGTACTTTAACTGCTTAACAGTAACATTCCCGGAGTAAATTAAATTAAAAATGTGAACTGTGATCTTTTACTAAGCAAAGTATCATTTATTTAAATTGAAACTTTGAACTTTTAATAAACAAAGTATGATAACATGTATACATCGTACATGGTTTAACTTCTTAGCATAAACAAAGTATCATATCCTTTAATTTCTCAATAATATTTTCTTATCAAGTTTTTGTATTGGAAAATAGTGATAACAACTTTCAAATGAGATTTTTCTAGTTAACTTTTCCTCTTTATGATCTTCATTGAGATTTGTTTTTCCCACCACCCAAAAACAAGGCTCCCAGTTGAAGCGCACTTAATTAAACAAAAGCCTAAAATGGTACAGTATTAATATGTACTCTCTTCGCTTGATTTTCACTTTTATTTCACTCCATTTCTACGTACAAGAAAAATGAAAAAATGACATGTATATTAGTAATAGAAATATGACTAATTATGTTTTTGAACACAAAATGTGATTTGTCACTACGTACGAGAAGCTGGACAATAGTCATAATAGTGTATTTCATAGTTACAAGTCAATAGTAGATGACGAGACAGAAGTTAGTCACTGAATATGTCATTTTTTCTAGGGAAAATGGAAACAAATAATCCAACCTTTTAGCGGTCTACTTTCAATAATCCCACTTTTTGATTATTCATGAATAATCCAACCTTTGCACCTCATCTTCATTCACTGGTCCCTGACTGGTTGATGACCTCCTATTCCAAGCTATTTTCTTATCTTTGCAAATCATTATACCATAAATCTCATCTTTCACAAACATAATATTTTGCAAAGATAAGAAAATAACTTGGAATAACAGGTCATTAACCGATCAGAGACCAACGAATGAAGATGGGGTGCAAAGGTTGGATTATTCATGAATAATCAAAAGGTGGGATTATTGAAAGAAGACCGCTAAAAGGTTGGATTATTAGTTTCCATTTTAAAATAAGTTGTTTTAACTAGAAATTATCTAATTTATGAATATAGGAATGAATTGGGAATCAAACAAAAAGAACCAAAGATGGATCAATCGAGGATTAATAATACTAACTATGATTGAATAAACAAAATGAATAAAATTTGGCTACTGGAATGTATTGCTATGTACGAATACAAAGATGGTAGATTTGATAAAAAAAAATGATCATGCTTTACATGGTGATCAACCTGCGTATTTAAAGTCTAATTTTCTTTCCCCCCAAGCCGTGCAACTGTCCCCCGCCTTTTCCTCCATGTGCAACTGACTTTCAATTTGATCTTATCTCTAACTTGGACTGATTCCGTTCTCCTCTTCAAATCTTATTTGTTAGGCTAGCTTTTTGCCTCTACTTGGGCTGACCTATTTAATTAATGGATCCTAAGTTGCCGGCCCATTTGCAAGAGAATCTTTGGGCCCAACATTTGCCCCCTTTCGAGAAGTTGAGGCGTATGGACGCACATGTCACCCCGTTAATCATCGACTTTTCGAAATCTTGAAAACTTTGATCTTGTCATCCTTGAATGTCACCCATTTAAACTCAGCATGTGTCCAATCAGACATGTTGTCAACTTGTCGTTCATGGAACAAGACGATTTTGTCAACTCGTCACTTTTCTGACGATCGACATGTTTCCTTCAACCCGTCACTCATCTGATGAGACGACTTCATTAATTCCGTGCAAGTAGTTTTTAGATCGAATTTGTCTCCTTGACTGGGGTGACGAAGAACGAAGGCTAGTCTCCAGCCATCTTCCTCCAAATTTGTACTAATGATCGTATCTAAGCAATGCTGACAAGTTGATACTTCGTCTAGGTAGATGTCGACACTTTGGTTGGCAAATATGATTTCGTCCCTCGTTGTATAAATTAGGGGTTTAACTCTATGAATGTGACCGTAACCTGTAAAAACTTTAAACACCGTTTTGTTTGTTGTTTTAATAATATCGTCGACATGAATATTTATGATGTATGTCAACGTCATTTGTATTGTCTCCTTATGTTTTGGAGCTTGTGTTGTCATGCTCTTGGAGCATAAGCTTCCGTTGTGTATTTCTGTAGTTTTGGTTTGATGTCGTTTGTGTATGTGATGTATGTTATGTTGTTTTGTTGCTTCACATGATGATGTCACTTGTATGTGTGTTGTTGTTGTTTTGGCCAAAACATTGCGGAAAATCGGTGGTGTTTATACTCATGTTTAGCATACATGAAAACAACACTTCTTCCCCTAAAATTCTGTGAGCCCCCCGTCAATTGTGTCTTGACGTGTTGTAAGGCGTTGTTTGATGTAAGCCCCCGTCGATCATGTCGTCTGGTCTATTTCATCACGGAAGTGACGACAATATGTAAAAGAATAATAAAGTGAAACAACTTTAAGGGTACCGTATTGTAACTCTTCAGATCCTGTCTACCATCGGACGACATGCCCCCCGTCTGACGACTTCAATCATGTCATCCAAACTATCTTGTCACATAAGTGAAGACTTGTTCCTTAGGCCTCGAATAAGGCTTTCCATGTTTGTAATCATGTCTCCTGGGAGATTCTGACTTCACGTGCCCCCTTTCTTGCTCAATTTGTTCGTGACGGCATCGTAAGTCTTCTTCTAGACGGATGAAAGCCAGTGCTTTTGCTTGGACATCTTCGAAGGACGGACTGGGGTATTTCGTCAACTCCTGATATAACTCTGAATCCTCCAGCAGCCCCATTCTGAATGCTTCGATTGTTGTCGGTACGTGACACCTGCGGATTGACACCTTCTTCTTGTTGAAGCGATGCAAGTAGTCTTGTAAGGACTCATTGCGCCTTTGGGTCACGCGATACAGGTCACTGGTTTGTTTCTCCAGGGTCCGATTGCTTGCAAATTGCTGAGTGAACAAATTAACTAGTTCCGTAAATGAGTTGACGCCCTCGTTTGGTAAGTTCACAAACCATGTCAATGATGGTCCCGTTAATGTTGTCCCAAATGCCCTGCAAATACAAGCTTCTTGTTGGTCCGGTCTGACAGAGATAGCCAACATTTGCTGCTTGTATTGAGCGACATGTTCTACCGGATCGGAGGTTCCATCGAACAACTTCATTGATGGTGCGGTGAATTTCTTTGGAATCTCAACATCTGCAATATGTCGTCCGAAGGGTGAGTCCGCGTAACAAGTTTGCGTCGCCATGTCAAGTGGGCGTGGGACTCCAGGTATGTTGTTGATCTTCTCTCGCAATTCCCTCAGTTCCTCCATGATGACGGCCAAGGGATCTGTCAAGTTTGTTTGCATTTGCGGATCCGCTGCTTCGGGAGGCATTTCTATCTGAGTTATCCTCTGCTCGGTAGGTGACTGTATGGTGACGACCTCTGGCTCCTGACACCTTTGATTTTTTGATGTCGACACGTCTGGGCATGTCGACTGGGCATGGCAGATCTGATTGCTGATGTCGACGTACCTGGGAATATCGACATGATTTGGAACATGTTGTCTCTGGGGATCGCAAACAGATTTCGGAATATGTTCCGTCTGGGATTTAGGGGTGGAATGAAACGAGTTGAGGGCCCTGCTCCTCCAGACGTGTCGGCCCCGGAGTGTGGGATGAATGGTTATGTTGAAGCCGGAATCGAATCCATGTCCAGTCTCGTTGCCACGATCGCAACATCCTTGCCCCGTCGTGAGCTCGAGGCTATGGATGCCACTGATTGTACTTGAAATCGCAGGGCGTCATTTTCTCGTTGAAGGAGGGCTACTCGTTGACGCACTTGCTCCCGGACAGCTTCTAACTGCGCCGCATCGGAGATTATGGATGCGCGGAGCTCTTCTCGGACGGCTTCTAGCTGTGCTTGGATCTCATTCATCAAGGAGTTAGAACTTTCGACCATAATTGATTCTCTTTTTGCAAGAATTTCTCACTAGGGTTGTAAATGAATCAAATAATTTGTGCTCGATTCGCAATTCGAATTCGTATAAGACGATTCGAATTCGGAAAATTCAAATACGAATACAAATAAGAATATTAAATTTGATTTGAGTTGTTATCAAATATACAAATAAGAATATTAGTGTATTCGATTCGAATATTAATCAAATATATTCGATTAATAATAATGGTAATATTAATATCAATAACTTTTAGTCTATATTTGCATAGAGACTCAAGCCCATTTGTAATATAAATAGAGTACAAATCAATTTTTTTTGTTCAAATGCCTTTCAAATACAATACAAATAATTATGTATTCGATTTGAAGAATAAAATTAGAGTTGTTTGACT